GGGTATTTGAGATAGCTTCCAGGAGGTTAAGGACCCAATACCCAGAGTGCGAAATTTGTGCTTGTCATCAGGTATGCCCAACACGTTTGGATTCCGTCAACCGATCGGTAGCGGTTGTTAATGTCGCGTTGAGGAGACAATGCGAAGCGGCGGGTTGGCATTTTCTGTCCAACGACTATGTCCCACAACAAGACTTGGCGGATGATGTTCACCTGACGGTCTGGGGCAAGCTAAAGCTGCACCGAAAGCTACAAATGCTGCTGAGGGCAGTTTTAAGCCGTCGTTTGGGCGTTGAGATACCGATCAAGGGTTAGCAGCTAGAGGAGGAGTTTAGATCGCACTGCAGGTTGAGTTTGGTAACCGGTTTCCCTTTGCTTTCTGTTAAAGCTTATCCATATGACAGCGAGGCTGCGGGGATTGGATGAACGTCTGGATGGATTACCTTATAGCAAGCAGAAAAGGAGTTTGGTGAGGGGTCTTGAAGTTTTTCTAAGTGAAAGTCATGGCTCCGGTTACTGCACTGAAGGGGCGGATTTGGATACAACAACACCGAATGACGTGGTGGCGTTTTTGATTGATAGAGTGGCCAGGGGCAGAACCCAAGTCCATAGGCTCGGCTGTACGAATTTTGGGAAGCACGGGATTTTCGATTGTGGATGCCAGCGGTGTCTTGCGGCGGGAACGGTAGACTCATACGTGGGGCAGCTCAGAGCATATTTCAATTCAGTAGGTAGAACTCAACCTTGGCGACAAGACGGATCCTGGGGTAATCCTTGCTTCTCTTTTCGAGTCCGTAAGTATGTCAAGGCTATCCGACTAGAGCAGGCACAGGCGCATGTCACACCACATCAAGCTATTCCCATATTCTCCGACAAAATAAGGTGGTTAGCCGGCGAGATCAGGAGGCGCATAACAAATTTGGACGGCAGCAGAAACCGCTTTATCCAGCGTTACATTTTCTACCGGGATCTGGCCTTTTTTCTTTGTTTGTGGTGGGCTGGCGACCGAGCGGCCGACCTCGGCCGTTGTAAAACTTGCGAAGTTACCAAAGTTGATGGGAAGGACCTTCTTTTCAACCACACGATGGGCAAGACGATCCGGCAGAACAGTTCATCGCTCATAATAATTCCAAAATTAGATGAGGTGGAGATGGACCCTGCAAGGGCAGTCGAAGAAATGGTCGATTTGGCGATGGGATCGGGTGTCGATTTGTCAGACGGGTATCTTTTTCGGCCCATCTCCCCGGACCGGACGTCGTTGGCAAACAAGCCTTTCGCCGGAAGCAACCCAAACAATCGTCTAAAACTCTACTTCACAGCTTCCAATGACGCAAGCGACATTAATCTTCGAGCACACGGGAATAGGGCTGGGGTCGCAGCCACTCTGCGGATCCTTGGAGCGACAGAACAACAGGTCATGGACCATTGTAAATGGGCGACGCAGAAGACCTTCAAACACTACACCGAGGTTGAGAAGGTCTCAAGGAT